TATGGGTGGGGTGAAAAAATAAAAATTTGAAATTGGAAATATTTTTAAAAATAAACTATAACTTTTTTTTGCGGGGGGGAGGGGGTGAGGGTGGGTGAAAAAATATAAAATTGAAGTTGAAAATAATTTTAAAAAATAAGCTTTAAATTTATTTTTTCAAAAAAAATTGTAATTTGAAGTTGGAGAAGAGTTTTGGAAAATATTTTCCTTAGTTTTTGAATGGAAGTCATTTTCCTTAAATTTGAGAAAAATGAGTTGATTTGGATGTTAAACAAAACAAGACAAATAGCCAAGAATAGGAAAGTTGTAAGAGCTCCGAGGGAGCTATTCCTTTTGTGGCGGTGGCATCAAAACCGGAGCACTCTCCAACCAATACCATACATCCACACAAGAGGATCTACCCCTTATCGACTCTAGGAGTACACAATCATAGAGCTTGAGCGATTTTCATTTGGGTATCAAAAGATCTTACTGATACCATGAATTGAACTCAGGGAAGACTTCTTCAGCTCACAATTGGTATGTCTTAGAGCTAGAGAAAATGTATGATCCAAATAACTCCTATTTTGGTACTAATCCTAATTGACGGATTTCCCAATTGTCCCTTCTCCTTTTTGCAGAATGAGCAACGACATGCTAATACCACTGTAGAGGGATCCAGAACAGCATGTACGTCCTCATCTTCAACTTATCACCCAGTGCGTTAGTTTTGAATTTGCAAATGTTGTTGGGGTTGCCCTTGAATGTGTGTTACCATTTGGTTCTGATTGTTGCTGCTATTTGACCTTGTCTGCCCAAATGTTCTTCGATTTTGACACTTCTTAAATCTCAAGTTTGGGACATTAGCCTTTTCCAACTGAATTATACCTTTTGCTTTATTTGGAATCCCTTGTGTTGAGTTGAATTGAAATTTGTTAGTACCTGCAAAACTGAAAATATAGTTAGTAAAAAAATTTGCCAATTGATTTCCTTTCTCTGACTGTGTGTGACACTATTGCAGAGTGGTTAGCCAACATGAACTTGATTCTCTTAATCTCCTTCACGATTGCCCAAGGCACCTCCCATGTTCCTTCTACAATTTTCTTGAGAGTAAGAGAGTCAGCTTCCATTACTACTGGTACTAAATTATGGTTTATACAGTGTTCAAGCCCTAGTTTCATCGTCATAGCCTCAGCTTTGAGGCTTGAGCTATCTTAAATTCTCTGAACTTCTGCAAAAACTAGTTCCCCTTCAATTTCTAATACAAAATCCGCAAGCACTAGGCCCGGGGTTGCCTTTGCAGGCACCATCTGAATTACATTTGTAATATCCCCTCTCTGGAAACTTCCACTTGATAACTTGGTAAGATATACTATGGGTGTATTCTTCAAACAACTTCACAATCATAGGCCACATACTTGGGATTTCCTGAATCAATGGGTATCTAAGTTTAGCCATCATCTGTAGATTTCTGTTAATCTCCATATCCATAGCATGCCTAGACATTTTTCCACCATTTCTGATCATGTTTCTCTTTTTCCATATTTGTCAGATGATAAAAGATGGTACTGCCTTATACATAGGTTTCAGTTTAACCACACAGTTCGCTTTTCACCATTTAATTATTGTGTCTTTAACTTGTAGAAATGGTCCTTCCACTCCGGCAACACCTGCAAATCAGCTCCATATTCTGTTAGAGTCTGGACACTCCATGAATAAGTGTTGAAAGGTTTCCTGTGCATTCCTGTTGCAGCAACAACAAATAACCTCCTCTGCTACCTTAATCTTCACCAAGACTTCTCCAATAGGAATTCATAACTTTCATAATCTCCATAGAAAGAAAGATACTTTAAAAGGAATACCCTTTCCCCATATGTTCATCATCAACTCCTGAGGTTCTTTTCTTTCTCTCATGAGTTCCCAAGCACTGACTACATAAAACTTTCTTGTAGAGTTGGGTATCCACCAAGGTTTATCCCAATCTTCAAGTTCATGTACTGTCCCAATGAGTTCATTAAAGAGCTCCACCATTACTTCATTATTCCAGTTGCCTAGAATCAATAACTGACTCACTTTATCAAATGCCTCATTACAGTGATGATTCACATGGAGTAGTAGTGAAGGGCTGCTACTTGAGTCCAATTGTCATATCAGATACTAGAGTAGCCACACTTGGTCTCCCACCATATCTCTTGATCAATGCTATCTCTAGCCAACAACATTTGTTTCCAGACTTGAGACCCTCCCTTCCATTCTACCATCTAAGGTCTATTCTTCTTGCAATACTTGTTCCATAAGAAGTTAGCCCAAATGGACTTTTTGGTCCTAAAATTCCACCGTAGCTTTGCAAATAAAGCCTTGGAGACATTAAATAAAGATCTAAATCCCAGTCCACCCTCCTCTTTGGGAAGACATATATTGGACCATGACACCCAATGTTTTGATCTTTCTTCTTCTTTAAAGTTCCATAAAAACTTAGCAAAGGTTCTATGGAGATCCTTAATAACACATTTTGGGGGCATGGTTGCAGCTAATAAGTAGATGGGCATGCTATGCAATACATGATTTATTAGAACAGTTTTACCTCCAAAGGACAATAATTTTCCTTTCCAAGCATGTAACTTATTCTGCACCTTTTTCATCAGATCGGAAAAATGTTGTTTCTTCTTCTTTTTATGTCCAATTGGGCATCTCAATTACATTAAGGGAAACTTACCTTTCTGAAAACCAGTGACTATTTCAACCTCCTGAACAACAACAATTGCAGCCTTGTTATACATAAAGAAGAAACTTTTTTCTTTGTTGATTTTCTGACCTGATTGCCCCTCATATTGTACCAACACATCCATGATTAGTTGTAGAGAAGTCTTGTCTGCATTCACAAATATGATAGTATCATCAGCATAGGCCAAATGATTAAGTTTGTCACTCCATTTGGGCATTCTAAAGCTCTTAAAATCATTGTTATAAAGCAAATGATTAAGAGCCTTAGACAATACTTCAGCAGATAAAATGAATAGAGCAGGGGATATAGAATCTCCTTGTTTAACACCCCTAGTGACTGGAATACTTGAGCATGTCCATTAGTTAGTACAGAGTACCAATTATTAGCCACAAGCCTCCAGATATTGTCCACCGCTAGTCCATCAAAACCCATCTTCTCTAAAACCTTAATTAAGAAGTTCCAGTCCACTCTGTCATAAGCCTTAGCCATATCAAGCTTCAGGACCGACCACATTGGTTGGTTTACCTCTCTTTCTGATATCAGTAATGATTTCCTAAGCTAGCAATATATTCTCAGTAATATTTCTTCCCTTCACAAACCCAGATTGGTTATGAGAAATAATATGAGGCAGAAGATCCTCCATCCTATCATGTAGAAGTCTAGAGATCACTTTATTTATGAAATTGCTCAAACTAATTGACCTTAAGTCAGAAAAGTTCTGGACGACATCTTTTTTAGGCACTAAGACCAAATTAGTATGTGTAATTGATGCTATTGGTTTTTAGTTCATCTATTTTTCTGGCTAAATCTTCGACGATATCTTTCCCTTAAAACTTATTATGATTCACTCGTTAATAATGATTGATTTTGGCATTTCTTATTTTTTATTTTGAGGCTAATACATCGTAAGTTCATTAGGTATTGAAATTCAGATGTATTATTTCATTGTTGTGTATATCCTCTACCATTCTACCATAATTAATTCTGGGATGCTAATTAGAGACATTGCTAAATCATTATGTATGGGTTCGTATGAATCTAATAACTTTTGCTTATAGACCATGTAATTTTATTAGGAAATCTATTAAATGTATCTAAATATATAGATGTCAAGTTGAGAATCCATATGATATTATTAAAAGTGGAATTAAATGTCTAAATCTATTAAATGTGTCTACAATATTTTCAAAATCACTTTATGTTAAAGCATACCACTTATATGCAACAAAAAAAGTAAACTTATTTATGCTTTCCAGTTCCTTCATTCTTTTACATTGAAACTGTTTCTCTCTAATTTTTGTTATTTAAAAGTTATAGAATTCATTTGATATTTTATTATTTTAAATTTACTTGATTTCTTCTTGTTTTTGAATCTTTATACGATGCATGTACATGTGAAGCTGTATAATTTATTATTATGCTATAAAAATCTTATGATATTAGTAAATAATTCAATTTTTTCAGCCTTATTATTCAATGTAATGGATGTTAATAAATTTTTATACATAGTCTTCAAACATTACATTTTCACAACTAATAATTTATGTGCAACCTACATATCAGGATGATATTATTTTAAAAACTATTTAATATTGTTGTCAGATTGTCCATTTGATACTAAGCCTTAATTTGGTGTTACACTTCCTTCTCTTTTGATCACTTAATTTTATGAATAACCATTTTATGAGATTTCTTTAGAAGATAAAGCAAAAAACATTCATTCAGATTCGAAGATAAGTTTTTTTTTCAACTAAAAATTGTTTGCTATAAATAAATTATCTTTTTTCGGTTTGATAATGGTAACAGAGAATAATATTCCACAATGCGATTAGTTCCAAATCCCACCTTGACCTATAGTAAATTTGATAGCAACAGAAAATAAATAGGGAAATCAATGTTTGTTATTATTATCAAGTCTATGCACAAGTCTTGCTATAGAAATTTGAAAGAAAGCTACAAGCACACAATTTCATTCAATTTGATGAAAAAATCCAAAGCTTGCAAAAGAAACAAAAAATAGGAAAAAACAAACATAGGAAACTGGTTTTTGGTTCAAGAACCAACAAATCCTTACACTTGATTTAAACATTTATTTAGCTAACATAGCTACATTTTACATTAATTACAATTCGAAACTTACTTTTAGCTATAATTACGTTCTCTCTCACCTCTCTCCTCTCTCCTCTCTTCCAGTATTTCTCCCGCCTCTCTCCCCTCTCTCCCCTCTCTCTAAAATCTCGCACGTCACTCTCCTCTTTTTCTCCCTCGCCTCTCTCGTCTCCCTACCCAATCTCTCTCTCTCGCTTCTCTTCTACCAATTTCTCTCAGTTTATACAAACAAATGTATAGTTTGTGTTTGTGTTAATATAAAACGAGAGAGACGGGATATACAAATACAAATACATATCTCTCTGCCCTACACACTTATATTATATAAATACAAATCTTCCCCTGTCCAATTCTCTTTTTTCCTTTCTCTCTATCGCTTTATACAAACACAAATTATACAAATACAATGTATAATTTGTGTTTGTATAAAACGAGAGAGAGATATTGAATATACAAATACAAATAGTTTTAACTTCGATTCAATTGTATACGAATTCAAATTGTATGCAGATATACAAATACAATAATTGATACATATATATAGTAGTTACATATATATAATTATCTAACTGAATAAATAGAGAAATCAATGTTTGTTATTATTATCAAGTCTATGCACAAGTTTTGCTATAGAAATTTTAAAGAAAGCTACAACACACAATTTAATTCAATTTGAAGAAAAATTCAAAAGCTTCCAAAAAAACAAAAATAGGAAAAAACAAACAAAGGAAACTGTTTTTTGGTTCAAGAACCAACAAATCCTTACGCTTGATTTAAAAATTTATTTAGCTAACATAGCCACAGTTTACATTAATTACAATTCGAAACTTACTTTTAGTTACAATTACGTTCTCTCTCGCCTCTCACCTCTCTTTCTCCCGCCTCTTTCCCCTCTCTCTGAAATCTCGTTCATCAATCTCCTCTTTTCCTCCCTCGCCTATCTCGTCTCCCTACCCAATCTCTCTCTCTCCTCTCTTCTCCCAATTTCTCTCACTTTATACAAACAAATGTATAGTTTGTGTTTGTGTTAATATAAAGCGAGAGAGATGGGATATACAAATACAAATACATATCTCTCTACCCTATACACTTATATTTATACAAATACAAATCTTCCCCTGTCCAATTCTTTTTTCTCTTTCTCTCTATCCC